TCTCTTTCCCTCTCTCCGAGCTATAAATATATATTTTTACGTAAAACCTATAGTCTTTTGACTGCAGCTGACAGTTAATACAGTTCGCAAAGCCAACAACAAAAAACACACATATTCTCGTTCGTAAGGGCGACTGTAATTGACTGTCATATAAAATAAAATAAATTGTTCATTGAACCCACCAGAATTTTTTTGTGTGTAAGCTAACACAAACTTAATTTGGAAACTAAATTGAAGAAAAAAAAAAACATGTAATTAAATTAAAATAAAAAAAACAACCAAACCGTCAAGAGAACTTAATTCAGTTGAATTCTTCGTGTTGAATATTTCATGGTCATAAAAAATAAATTTATACATATAAATGCAGAGTTGGATATTAAATTGGATATTCGATTAATTGTTAACCCAATTTAAATAAAGTGACAAAATTTGTGAAGTAACTTGTACTTTAAATAAGGTATATTCAAATAAGATTATGTATGTAAAACAAAGTAAAATACATTTTTTACTGAACAATTTTATTCAAATCAACAATAATGCATTAATTGTGTACGTTGACGCCATTTATGATGCCACTATTTAAATTTGAATATATTTTTCCTTCCTTAAAATGCTTGAATTCGTTTTTGATACCAAAAGACTTGTAAAATAACAAGGATTAACACATTCCGAGCTAACGGAGTACAAAATATCTCGCATGCGAGAAAACTTGTCACGCCGTAAGGGAAATTCTCTCCCTGTGCTTTTCCGCCGTCCAGACGCGTCCGTAGAGAAAAATCCCAGGTGCAGGATATTTCCCTCTTCCTTGTCTAAAGCACGTTCTGGACCAGAGGAGAGGGGTTGGACGTCCGGACGAAGGATCGGCGACAAAATTTTCGTAGGTTAAGGCTATTTGAGCTCCTCCTTAAGCAAATTTTTTTAGGTTTTTAAAATATTTTTATGCCTTTTCTTACACAAAAAAACTATTGCGCAATTGAGTGTTGGTTAGCAAAGAAATGTGACTAAACAATTTTAAAATTTGGGGTAGCGGAGTTTAAAAAAGTTATATTTTTAGACGATACATTTACTTTTACGACCTTGACCCTTAAGAAAAGTATTTGAAATGCCCGTCGAAGTTTGTATACCCTTGCAGTTAGTAATTGGATCATTAAAAATCGATTTCTTTTGGTGAAATGAAAAGAAAAACTGACTGGAGAAATGTGTATATGTTTTAATATGTATTTATATACACCATATAACAATTGCTTTTTGATAAAGTTTCAATTTTAAATCGTTTAAAATAATATTTTGGGGTTGAAATAACCAATTTAAAATAAATTATAAATATACATGCTGAAAAAAGTAAGTAATAACAACTTTCACTTCATTTATTTATAAATATTATATTTACAGTTATACATTCATAGTTTTACATTTTTCCCTACATCTAACGATCGTTCGTATGCCAGCTATGTATATGGTTTTTATAAAATTAAAGCCGAAATTCTGAAATAATACAAAATTTCCAAATCTCAAAGATGATGAAAATATGTTAAAAAACAAGGAAGATATATTTTTTGTCTACAAACATTTCGATCATTTCCCTGGCAGCTATATGATACCATATCGACGCATTTCCGCGAAAGTTTCGTATGTCGTTTTTTTTTTTTCGAAATTGAGATTTTAATGCAAAATTTTTAGGCACATAATGTCTCACTACCCTGTGAAATATTATACCTGAAAACCCTATAGTTCCGATAAAAATTAAGTTTCAATTTTATCGTTTTTTCAGTGCTTCCTAAGAGATCAAAGCAGAAAAAAGCTTCTCCTGTAAAATTTGATTTTTCAACATACGATACATGCGTCCGACTCCTATAGCAGTAAGAGTAGTCAGAAGACTATGTGAAAAGTTTCATTCAGATTGCTTTAAAACTGAGGGACTAGTTTGCGTTGAAACGGACAGACAGACATGTCTAGATCGACTCGGCTGTTGATGTGAAGTAAATTTTGCAGAAAGAACGCATCGATGCACACAGCACGCAAAATAAAAGCTCTTTTGAGAATACTTTCCAATGAAGTTCATAGGAATGACCGCCAGCTTAATTCGGTAAATGAGTTTAAAAAGACTTTTATTCCCTAAATTACATGTTTGTAAGATATTTGATTGTAATTTTAATTTAAACTTTTACTTTTTTTATCAAGTAGTACCTACTCTTTGTTCTAGCTTAATATCATTTTATCTTTGCTGCTGATGTATAAATGCCCTTTAAGTGCCAGTTCCAGTGCATTTATCAGTGTATTTTAGCTTGACACGGTTGCCTAGAAAGGCCGCTAAGGGGGAAATGGCTTTCTTGGTCAAGAAACTAGCGAGCTAACGGGTTGTGTTCTAATTAAACATTTGACAATTATTAATACATTCCAAATGACTGCAGTGAGAACGAAAAAGGAACTGGGCAAATATTTAACAGCTGCTCACGCATCCAAGTGTGCGTGTGGGAGGTACGTGTACCCCTGCATACATACACATGCGCCCACCCAACCACCCCCTGGCCCAAGTGGGGCGACGGCGACGCCTTTCGAGTGTTTGCTGCTGCGTCATTAGAAGCGCTGCCGCCCGGTCGCCAATTACTTCTGCGAGGCAGGAGCACTGGAAGAAAATGTGTGTCGATTCCCCCATGGGTCTCAAAGCCAAATACATGTGCACTAGGCGGCTAATAACGTGGAAGGATGCCCTGGGCCAATTGAACTGAACCGGCCATTAAGTCTCCATAAAAATATTTACAAAATCATCATTTACACTGCCAGTTGTGCGTATAACAGCACCGTTGTGCGGGCCATTACGTTTTCAGAGTGCATGCTTATTGTATTTCATTTAAATCCTATAAAACATTCAAAATAATCAAATTATAAGTAGCTATAATTTTCTAACATTTCCGCACCGATATTATTTAAAACTTTTTCAAGAAGAAGTCCAAGTATGGGTTTGGGACTGGCAGCAGTGTACATATCCTTAAACAATAAATGAGGATTATGACTTTTTAACTTTATCACACAAGAAATTGGATTCGTGACGGCATAATAATTTGTTGAGCTGTAGAAGAGGTAGGCATGGGCTGTAATTAAACACAGTCACGAAGAAAACTAGACAAAAACAGACTTTAAGGGGGGTAAGGTTAATGCGGTGCTAAACTGCCCACTTAAAAATAAATATTGTGGCAAAATGGCTAAAGTTAGCTTAATGATTTAAATACCATATAATAACAAAACATTTAAACAATTTTTGATAAATTTTCGTATTAAAACATATTTACAGGTCTTTGAGTAAAACGGAATATCCCGAGTCCCCTAAAAAAAACATCCAATATGCTGAGGTGAATACATAACCATCCTTCTTCATCTGTTTAGGCCATCTTTTGAGTAACACAAATATAATTTCGCAGTGATTGTTTTACTTTGTTTATGTATTTCGAAAGATATATTTTGTAATAGGTTTTTTTTTGTAATAGAAACTGCACTGATGTGAGTATTTATAGCTTTAAGCTGTATTATATCATTCTAGGATCAGCATTATGTTTGACACTTATGGAAACCTGAAGCAATTAAAGTTCAGCATTAAATTATATACATTTAACCCACATTCGCTGTATACTACGGGTCGATAGCATAAACAATTTCTGTCAGCTATAAATAGCCTTAAGCGTTATTCAATAAATTCACTAATTGTTTTGGGATACAGTAAATACATTATTTGCCATTGCCATTAATTCATAATATAGGAAGTTGGGCAATATACATTTGTACCTATTTACTCCGAAATTAGACATTTATAAAATGAAGGCGAAACATGTTAATTATTTTTTTTAATATTGGAATTTTTGTAAGAAGTTTTATGTGAAGAAGTAATTTCGTAGTTGCATTAAGAAATGCTTCAATTGATAATTTTTGAACAAATTTAGCATATTCTGACACGAATTTCGAAATATTCGAATACGAATTTGAGCCAACGCGAGTTTTTATTATTTTGCGCTTCCTATGACGGTTTTCATCATAGGAAGCGCATGTTTTCTTTTGATAACAACTTTTTAAACAAAAGCATTATGCTTTGACTTTAGCTTTTTAACATCACTTGAAGAATGTAAGAGGTCAAAACACTCGTATATGTTCTTCTAATTTACCTTATAAGCGAAAACCATATAAAGAGCACTGTGGAAAAAATGTTGCTAGCGACAGGGATTAAAATTCAATTTAAATCAAAAAACTACATACAATTTTGAAGTCAAATCAAATACATTATTAAGACCAATTCATGCCTATTACATTAAAATTATTTGCATTCAAAACTTTCACCATGTTTTGCTGAAATCAGTTCTTAAACTGGTTTTCGAAAAAGTGAATTCTGCCCGAGTCGCGTGCTAATGCCTTACATTCCCCTAATTGCCTTTAAAAAGATGAAATGCCCGAAATCGGTCTTAGATCCAATTATAATGCTAACTAAGGGCTATAAGTTTCAAATTTTGAATAAATAAAATAAAGTCTTTGTAATTTTTTTCCTTTTAATTGTTTTGTAATTTTCTTTTATTTGTGTTTACTTTTATTTTATTTATGTTTACTTTATATGTGTATAAAGAAAATCAGAAATTTCAAGTTTATGACATACATATCCGACCATATAAGCTATTGTTGATCACCAGTCACGTCGATTTAGCCATATCCTTCGCCTCTCATTTTATCTATGCTTCCCCCTCCTCCTCCTATTCTTGAAAATATCTAATTGCTAACAATTTTGTCTCTTTTTCCTAAGATTTCAATTAAATGATCTTAAAAAAAATCATTTTCCTCTTCTTTAGAGTGTCCATAATGCGCTGTGCTTGGTGTTATCTCTCAGTATTTTAGTTAAATCTTCATAATAATATAGTTTTATTTAAATATGGGCACGATTTGTATTGGGACACGAACTTCCTATCTCTTATCGCCAAAGTTGTTTGTATAAATACAGCGCTTTCAGCCCTTCCAAAATCAATACAAAACGTACAAAGCCACGATGAAGATTTCCATAGTTGGTCTTGTCGCTCTGGCAGCTCTCTTTTGCACTTTGCAATTGGCCACAGCGGCTGTAAGCTTTGTACAGATTCATCATCCACATAAATACTAATTTCAATTTTATTTTATAGAGCTTTAGCTTGGCTGATGCTAAAAAGTTTTTCTTTCCACCCCAACTTTCAAAATTGTGTCCACCCTCACCTGGTTCTGGCTCAGGAAATGAAGACAATGCATCAACAGGAAGCGGAAATGGAGCTGGAGCTGGCGCTGGAAATGACACTACGGGATCGGCAGGAGCAACGCGAGCTTTACCTATACTTGGCTTACCCATTGGCAACATACTGCCTTAACAGTCGCATAACACTGGCAATGCAACCTTCCTCGCTTCACTAAGCATTTATATGCTAAATAATATTAACTATCCTGTAAATCCTGATTTATTTGCACTTAAATAAAGTATATCCCCCAAGCAATGTACGCTATTCATTCTATTTATTCGGAGTAAATTAGATGTAAGGTTAGATGAAACCCGAACGGACCTCGAGAGGCGACGCATAGGCTGATATGACCCTTACCTTTCCGGATGTGTGTTTGGATCTGGAGATTAGGTAACAGGTTTCGAAATCCTTAAGGATGTAGTAAGCAAGTAGTTAACCTGGCGCCCTCCTGGAGGCATCATCTAGTGATGCCAGTACCAGTATTCTTATCAGACAAGACACTAGAAGGCTTCAATCGCCTCGGATACATCGCATTTCCTGTGACCTGTGAGTATTTCCACTAACAGACTGCAATCTTTCCGTGGTAGGTGCAGAGTGTTTTGCAGATCGTAATGTTTCTTTAACTCGCTTTGGAGCGAACTTAGGAAACCGGCACGCTTTCCAACCAACCCGATGTCTCAGTAAGTTTTTCCGCAATCTCGTTGCTTAACTCCAGTTACTAGCCTGGTCCATGTGGGCATCGGAGATCCCAGTGCATCCTGCACCTTTTCTCATTGTGCAAAATAAGCAAATAAGATAATCGAATAATTTAAACGGCATTTGACAGGTAATTGTTGTTTAATTTATATCTGCATACGCCCACTAATTTGCCTTTTTATCAACAAAAGTTGAATAATTTTGTAGCTTTTTTTTGTTGATTTAATTAAATAAAAATATTTTGAACACGGAAAATGTATTATTTATTTTTATTTTTAAAATTAAAAATTACTGTTCTAATCTAAGATATACAAACTTTCCCAACTTCACCTGCACGAAGTTTTATTTACATACACTTACTGACAGAAACACAGATTTTAAATTATAAATTGTTGAATGTCATTTTGGGTCTATATAGTCTTGATACCAATTGATCTACACCTAGCGAGTGACGTCATAAAAATATTAATTTATGTATGTGGAAGTAAAAAATGTTTGAAGAATTGTTGCCTATTTAACTTGTCGAAAAATTCCCAAGTTCTTCACTAGGAATGGTGTGTTTGAAATATTAAGTGACAATATTAAAACCTCTTTGAGTTATGCTGGGCGTGATGATTGATAGATTTGCCTAGTATGCCACAAAAAAAAAATACAGCTTTATCCGCACACGATTCGTATGGGGACACTAACTCTTTTATCTAATGTCGCCAAAGTTGAAATGCAACGCTTTCAGACATTTCAAAATCACTCCGAAATATACAAAGTCAGGATGAAGATTTCTGTAGTTGGCCTAGCCTCATGGGCAGCTCTATGTATGTTTTATATAATAAAACAGTTTTTTACTTTACGAATTTGAATTTAATTTTATAGAGCTTGAAATGGAAATGGACCTGGAAGGCTGGAAATGAAACTGAGGGATCGATACCTATACTTGGTAGTTTTTATTGACAACCTATGTACTTCCTCTGCGCTTACAAATGACAAACACCAACTGCATTTAACAAATATATTATTTATTATATTACGGTATTAAAATTATATGGAAAATGAGAAAACCTTTGCTTACGTGTTAGGAGAAAAAAAACCAATCGATTAAGCATATGTACTAGGGTATTGACAATAAACAAGGAGAGATTTTAATGGGCTGATGAAAATATATTCGATCCAGAAAGGAAGATATGTACACCCATTTGAAAAAATAACCTAGCAGGAGAGAATAAGACCCCGACTTTCAAATAGATAAGATATAGTTGTTCAATCTGGTCCTTTCCGAATAGTATAATACAAGAAATCTGAAGAATACCAAATGCAATTTTTAATCTAAATGGATAAAAAAACGGAGATAAGAAAAGCGAAATAAAATTAAAGTTTTACAATGTTAATTTTCCGATTGTTCCTATGACAGCTACATATAGTCGTTCATTTTTCACAAAATATATAATGGAATTCTAGAGTAATAAAAAGTGTCGATGTGTCGAAGAAGATACAGATAATATTCTATCAATTTCGTTCGTCGTTCCTGTGGCATTTGGTAGTGCATCATTATAAACTTTGAAGTAATTTTTCTCAACTTTTTAGCATGAATAGATATTGTTTGCAAAATTACCAAAAATACACGCAGCACGATATATACACACCATATATGCATGCATGTACATACATAGGTATATCTGTATATTCCATGTCCAGGTGCTTATTTACCCAACCCCCTGACGGTTATTCGTGGGTCCATAATGTTCGGGGGTAACAGAAAAGTATTGTTGCCCTGCTGGGCCACTCTCAATTATTGTTTTATCTGCTCGCTTCCATTTCCGTTTCCATTACCGAGGCACTTTTATGGTCGCGCTCTTTTACTTGACTTGACCTGGCCCCGCTTCCAGCAAGGTCACTCCCAGACACGCCACACACACCGCCGTGAACACCCTGGCAGCACTCACGAACTTAGGCATACTTGGCGACTAATCAAGCCCAAAACCAAAACAACAAGGGCCATGGAACGGACACTGGGCTCTGGGAGCCGGAGGTGGGCGGCGGACAGGTCGGTCCTCTTTGTCAAATGTGTGTCATGACCTTACGCACAAACCAACACACTGGGCCAGGATGACAACTGCAAAGTGTGCGACGATATGGGCACTAAAGGAAGCTTAAACATTAAATTATTCTCAACGGAAAAGCTATAAAAAAACCTTGCATACATTTTCAGAATTCATCCACTGAGTGGATATGGAATGGAACAGGATAATAAGGTAACGGACGATATATAAAACATTAAAACAGGTTAGTTTCATAAGGATGTTTCAATTGCTACCACATCGTTGACCCATACTGGTGAACTCACACAGAAAACTACTCATAAAACCACGTGGTAGGAATACCTATAGGTATAAGTGGTGAGGTGGTCCAAGCACTCTGCAAGTGCTCTGGTGTCTCCTGTTCCGTTGGTTTCTGGCAGCTCCTGCAGCTGTTGTAATATGGCAGCCCCATATTGCGTGTGATCCTATTGCCCAATAGCTTGTTGAGCCTGTTGTGATCCTTCTTATATTCTTCTTACTTTGGGATAACAGCTCTTTTGAACGCTTCCAGTCGAAGTTTGGCAAACATAACTTCGATTTACCATGTTGGCTTATCCGTGACTATTCTCTGTTGGCCTTAGTTTTGAAATACTCAATTATTGCAGTGTGGACCGCTTTAAGCAGTATTGGTATACCTCTAATGTCACTACGTTCAGCCGAGCCCTTCCGGGCCAGCCCGTACGCCTTCCCAATCCTTGGTATGGGCTTCTTGGCATACTGTGAGAGCTTTGATAGCCGCTTGACTATCAGCCTAAATCGTCACTTTGGTATCCCTAAGGCCTCGATAGTCTTGCTGAGATCGGAAGACTGAAAGTCAATTCAATCCCAAAAAGTCCCAGCGAAAGTGCCAGCTCCCACACCACAGCTCATCTTAGAGCCATCGCATAGTAGCGCCTCTTGAACAAACATCGATGCAAAAATAGAAAAAAGTCATGTTCCAAGGATCCGAGTCTGTAATGAAAATAATTATTTTTCCGTAGAAGATTAATAAAACATAAAACTAGCTTTGTGGATCAACGATCAACGTTCGTTTAGTCAAGAAAGTACCCCTTCATGAACTTCTTGAGTAGATACGTAGTCCGGGCAAGGTCGTGTCTGTGCAGAATTTATTTGGGGAAAACATTTTCAAGGACTTGACACACTATCTCCTCCTAAATTCTGGACAAATCAAAATTAATTGACATAATTTATACGGCATTAAACCTAAAATATGTCGGAATATTAAATAAGACGAGCCGGAATGGGAAATACAAATTGAATTAATAACCTAATCAAAGCTCTGCGAAGACTTTAAAAGGCAGGTGGAATTTTCAATTAGGCGCAATCAAGATATGGCTAGAGTGGAGATAAATTCGACTTGAAATGATTTGTTATTGGAGCTGCAAACAACACACAAGGCTAGAGCTGTGGCACACGCACACATAATAAATGAAATCAAGTATTCAAATATGCTGCCATTTTCTCGACTAGAAGGGGCTCCATCCCGTCCTGGCAAGTGTTCAACCGCAACTAAGATGGCACTCAGTTCTTGGCACATCCTTGCTGCCTCCTCACCGGGATCCTTTCCCCCGGCTGACACTGACACTGAGACTGAGACTCACTCCTTTCCCCAGACTGAGACGCTACGCATCCCACATAAGTTTGCTATGGATTCTGTCAGAATGTTAATCCAATCCCATTGCGGTTGCTTTGTAGCCTCTCTATGCGAGTGTGTGTGTGTGTGTGGCCCGGGATGTGTTGATTTTTGGCTAAACAAAAAACCAAAGCCAGCCCCCGCAGCTACGCCCTGACACCACAGGCCTTAACCCTTAAGCTGTGACCATGCCCTATTTTAATGAGACGTACATATGTTTATGAAACAAAATACATAAAATTGGATTGTATATACTTGATTTTTTACCGGATCTTTTAGTTAATATTCCATATACCATATCTAAAAAAAACATCACATTCCGGTATAATATTTCAGTGGAAACGTTATTTATAGTTGCTTGGAGATAGCATGGAAGAATTCGCATAAAAGGGTTAAGCCCTTCTCCGGCAGCTCCGTCTTCGACTTTTGCTAATGAAATAGTCCCGCTCTTCTTTCCCCGAGCTCATGTGTTTGTTTTTCAGACCTAACATACAAAGGCGCCAGCTGAAAAAAGGGTACGACTTCCTCTTTCCAGCCATTTCCGGCGCTTTCTGTGGCTGCTTGCCTCTTTTCTTCGTCTTAGCCGCTCAGCTTCTGGTTGTTTTTTGGCCGCATTAAAATTCAAAATACGTTCACCAAAAGGCAAAAGCCAATTTCAACCTTCGCTGCCTGACAAAATTCATTTGGCAATCGACTGCGAACCACTGCACTATGGGGTTTTTGACCACTTTTTGTGGCATTTAATCATTTTTTAAAAGTTCTTTAAATTAAAAAAAAATAGTGGGATTGTATTAACAAAACATCGAACTGTTATGCCTCATACTCAAAATGTTAATACTTAACAGCATATGTTAGCAA